AACATTGAACTTCTCCAGTGATTCTTTCCACTGTGGTAGTTAGTCAGTATGATCCTTGTGCAGTTCATCAGGTGAAGTCCAAATATAAAGTAGCCTTTTGTACTTCTTAAAAAATGTATTTGCTGTGACTACATCATCAAATGTATAAAATATGAATAACATTTGAGAGCTAGACAATGAATAAGAATGACAGAAGAATTTATGTCTTTAAGTTGTGATGTTGGAGAATAGTACCAAATATCCTAAAAAAAGGAATAGATTGATCTTGAAAAAAGTGCACTCAGATAGCACCGTGGAGGGAAAGATGGTAAAACTTCATCTCACATGTTGTTATGAGAGTCTGTCTGTTGCTTGGAAAGAAATACCATTTCAAAAGGTGAAAGTCAGCAAAAGAGTGGAAGATACCCAAAGAGATTAATTGACATTGTGATTGCAGCAATGGACTCCAGTGTATCAGAAAGTATAAGAATGCCACAGGATAGGACAGGGTTCAGATATGTTGTTCATAGGGTCGCTATGAGTAGAACTCAATTCAAGGGCACCTAACAACAACATCACAGTCCAATCCTGGTCTTTCACCCACAAGAGTAACTCCACCTACAAGGGTCCTGAAAATCTTATAAAAGAAACCAGAAGCCGTGATTAGATAGAATTCTGCAGATGCCTTTGTCAATGAGTTTCCTTATTCCTAAAATGGTTTGTCTGTATTTGTCATGGTTATGTCTTAATAAAATAATCAATGCAGTATATGTTCTAATTTTAAAGTGTTCATTAATCTTGGGAAAATATGTGACTGATGATCAGTACTTTGTAATTGTTTATATCTTTCTTTCCACTTTCTACTGCAGATGAAATAAATTTATAACAATGGCATTAAATAACAAAAGCCATCCAGACGAATTCATTCTGCTGGGCTTTGCTGACCATCCTTGGCTGGAGCTTCCTCTCTTCATTATTCTTCTGATCACATACCCTATGGCCATGATGGGAAATATTGCCATTATCCTAGTGTCCATACTGGATCCCCGGCTCCACAGCCCCATGTATTTCTTTCTAACCAACCTCTCATTTTTGGACATGTGTTACACCACAAGCACTGTCCCTCAGATGCTTGTTAACCTGGGAGGCTCCAGGAAAACAATCAGTTACATAGGCTGTGTAATTCAGCTTTATTTTTTTCACTTTATGGGCAGCACAGAATGTTTACTCTTGGCTCTCATGTCCTTAGATCGCTATGTAGCCATCTGTAGACCTCTACACTACACCATCATTATGAGTCAGCGAACTTGCATCCTACTAGTATCCATTGTATGGCTGAGTGGAATGACTATTGCTGTCTCACAGGTCACGGTTACATTACAGCTGCCTCTCTGTGGTGTCAGCAAGCTGGATCATGTATTGTGTGAGATTCCTGTTCTGATAAAGGTAGCCTGTGGTGATAAGAGTTCTAATGAGCTCATGCTTTCTATACTATGCACTTTTCTAATAGCTGTTCCACTCTGCTTAATTCTTATTTCCTATGCTTGCATTGGGCAAGCTATATTGAACATTAAGTCTTCTGAGGGAAGGAAAAAGGCTTTTGGGACATGTTCTTCCCACCTCATTGTTGTTCTCTTATTTTATGGACCAGCCATTAGCATGTACCTTCAGCCTCCCTCCTCCATCACAAGAGATCAACCCAAATTTATGGCTCTCTTCTATGGAGTAGTGACCCCTACACTCAACCCCTTCATCTACACCCTTAGGAATAAGGATGTGAAGGGGGCTTTAGGCATGCTGATGAAGAGGATTTTCAGTTCCAAATGAAAGACTAAACAAGTAAATTACTTAACAAATTGAGGTTTTTATAATAATGTCTCTAATAATTCTGATTTGACTCATACTTCCTAATTTTTTTCTAGATGATATATTCTCAAAGTCTGTCATGTCTTATACTAAAAACTTTTTTCAACTGTGGTAAAAATATATATAACAAACATTTGCCATTTCAACATTTTTTAGTTTTATTAATCATGTTATGCAGCTATAATTATTAATTTCCAATTTTCATCACTCTAAAAATAAACTCAGTAATTGTTCCCTCTCCTCCTTCTCTCTCACCTCTAATATCAAATAATGTACTTTGAACTCTATATACTTGCTTACTGTAGATATTTCATACATTGTGATAATTTATTTTTGCAATTGACTGACTTGACATAACCTTTACAAAGTTCATCAAATTGTAGCATGTATCTTTAATATATAGATTTCATTTCTGTTTATGACTGAGAAATATTATTTGCTATTAATGCCACACATTTTGTTAATCCATTTTTCTGTCTGTGGGCATTTAAGTTGTTTTCACCATTTGCCTATTATAAATTATGCTACAATGAACATTGGTGTACAAGTATATTATTTGGATTCCTGCTTTCATTTCTTTTAGCTAAATGCCATGGAGAATTATGGAGTCATGTGATGATTTTTATTACTTGTTTATTTTTGATCATGGTTTTAAGCAAGACTAATATTCAGCTCAGACATACCATTATACAGTTTGTGAAGATATATCAAAATATATTTGCTCCATAATTAAATAATAAGTCCTTCAAGTAGTGCTATATAGGATCATAATATTTTCTGTTGCTGTTCTTAGGGACAATAAAGTTAACTGCAATTCATAGTGACTCTATGACCACAGGTCTGTGCCTTGTCCTATCTTGCATCACCCTTACGATCTCTGTCATGCTCAATTTCCTTGTAGTCTCTGTGTCAATCCATGTCACAAAGGGTCTTCCTCTCATTCTCTGACCCTCTATCCTAGGTCTGTATGATGTTTCTCTCCAAGGACTTGTCCCTCCTGAGGACAGACCTGTTTGTTTACCTAGCTGTCTACAGAATGTTCAATACTCTTTTCCAGCACCACACCTTGAAGGAATCGATTCTTCTTCTATCATCTTTAATTATCCAGGTCTCTAATGCATAGTAAGTAATTGTGAAGACCATGACCTGGATTAGGCACATCTTAGTCTCCAGACTGAATTTGTTATACTTTAGTACCTTAGAGAGGTCCCTGACAGCAAACTTTCCCAATCCAATTTGTCTTTTGATTTCTTGTCTGCTGGTGCCAAGAGTGTTGATTGTGGAACCAAGCAAGATGAAGTTATCAACAATCTCAAACTCTTTTCCACCCATCATGAAGCTGCTAATTGGCCCAGTGGTGAAAATCTTTGTTTTCTTGATGTTGCACTTCAATCCACATTGGAGATTACAGCCTTGACCTTCTTCTGCAGCAAAAACACCTCATGCCATTTTCCGTTTCAGCAAGCAAGGTTGTGTCATCTGTATACTGCAAGTTGTTAATGAATCTTCCTCCAATCCTAATGCCACATTCTTCCTCATAAAGTCCAGCTCCCTGAATGATCTGTTTTACATACAGATTGAAAAAGTATGGAAATAGGATGCATCCCTGACATACGCCTTTCCTGATCTTGAACCATTTAGTGTTACCCTGCTCTGTTCTGTCTGCTGCTTCCTGGTACAAGTATAGGTTTTGCATGAGCACAATTAAGTGCTTGGGATTTCCATTCTGCTCAAGGTTAACCACAATTTGTCATGACTCACACAGTCAAATGCCTTTGCATATTCAACCAAACACAGATAGACATTCATCTGGTACTTTTTGCTTTCAGCCAAGATCCATCTAACATTGGCTATGGTGTCCCTAGGGCCAAAACCTCTTTTAAAATCCAGCCTGCACTTCTAACAGTTCCAGTCATTGCTAAATAATCTTCAGCAGCATCTTGTTTGCAGGTGATATTAGTGATATCATTCAATAATTTCCACACTCTGTTGGATCACCTTTTTTTGGAATGAGAATAAATATGGATTTCTTCCAGGCAGTTGGCCAGGTAGTTGTCCTCCATATTTCTTAGCATAACCTGGTGAGCATGTCCAGTGCAACATCAGTTTGCTAAAATATGTCAATTAGAATTCCAACCATTCCTGGGGTCTTGGTTTTGGCTAGGTTCTTCAGACCAGCTTGAACTCCCTCCTTCATTACCATAAGCTTTTGATCATATGTTGTTTCATTAAATTCTTCTGTGTCAGCCAATTATTTTTTGTATGGTACCTCTGTGTACTCCTTCCATCTTCTTTTGATGCTTCCTGAGTCATTCAACATTCGTATTTCGGCATTCTTTAACTATTGCAACTCAAGGCTTGACTTTTTTTTTTTTTTTCAGTTCCTTCAGCTTAAGAAATGCTGAGTGAGTTCATCCCTTTTGAATTTCCAACTTCAGATCCTAGCACATTCCATTATAATACATTGCTTTTTCTTCCCATGCAGCCTTTTGAAATCTTCTGTCCAGCTCCTTACCTTCTTGATTCTTTTTCTCCTTTGTTTTGGCATCTCTGTGTTGCAATGCAATATTCAGAGTCTCTTCTGATCATCCATCTTGGCCTTATCTTTCTCCTCTGTCTTTGCAGTGACTTTTTGTATTCTTCATGAATGATATTCTTGATATACTTTCACAGCTCCTCTGATCTTTGCTCATTTGTGCTCAAGACTTCAAACCTTTTCCTCAGTTGGTCTTTAAATTCTGGTGGATTAGCCTCAAGATCAAACTTTGGTTCTTGTGGATTTTATTTTATCTTTAGTTTGAACTTATATATGAATGTTGATGATTTGTTCTACAATCAGCATCTGGATCTCGTCTGTGACACTGTCTACTGAAGTGGCCCAGCTTTCCACAGTGGAAGCAATTCTGATCTCTTTTATTACCTTTGGGTGGCACTGTTTATGAGTAAGACTTCCTTTTCCTGGCACAGGCCCTAAACTGGCAGCAATAGCTGCCCCAGTAATTTTGGCCATTTTCTGGTCTTTTCTCTTCCCTCCAGATCCCAGTTGTTAAAAGAGGGAAAAATTTAAACAAATATATAAGAAATAATTTTGAACAATATAATATTTTAAGGCTAGAAATAGTAACAATATGATCATTTCTTTCCATTTCAGAGATACATGTTCCACTGCAGTTGCTATTTTCCATAAATGGTTTGGTAGGAAGAATATTGTAATGTGAATACAGTTCCACTAGTCCTCCTCCATGCCATGATATAGTGTTATTAGTATGACCAGTTATAAATCCATTGCCTTCCTTACTCTAACTTAATTTTGTTTTAATTTAAATTTATTATTAATTTCAGTAAAAATTTACAGAGGCATCCTCATTATTTCCTTCACCTGCTCCCCCCACCGACCAAACTGTGCAGCTCTGCAACTGCATCCGTGCCCATCCTCACCTTTCTGCCCCCAACCCTCACCTCCTTGTACGCCCAATATGTTTTTCCCAGTTAAAAAAAATTTAAAGAGGCTTTGTATTTCCATTCATTCATTGTTGCACATTTCTGCCCTCCCAAGATTCCCCCTGAAAACACAACCCTCTTGGAAAAGTAAAAGAAAATTCTTTCATTGTTTTACAAACCCTCCCCCAGGTCCACTCCACTGTGTAGCCATCGCTCTAGACTCCTGTCATGACAGAAATACCTAATCATATATCCCTTTTAAACAGTTTTCTCCCTCATCTGTTTCAGTGCAGTATACATTATTGAACTCATCTTTCTCAGTCTCTCCCCAACCCCAAGATCAGTCCTCTTTTACAACAGTGGCACCAGGCAATATTTGTGTTTTTGTGACTGGGATATGTCACTCAGCATAATGTTCTCCAGAGTCAACCACTTTGAATAATATTTCATGAGTTCCTTGTTTTTCAATGCAGCATAGTATTCCATTGTATGAATATACCACAGCTTCTCTAACCATTCGTTTGTTGATGGGCACTTATGTGGTTTCTAACTCCTTGTTATTGTGAACAAAGCAGCAATAAACATGGGTGTGCATATATCTGCTTGGGTGTCAGCTATGGTCTCTTCAGGGTATATTCCCAGTAGTGGAATTGCTGGGTCAAATGGTATCTCTATTTGCAACTTTTTGAGAAAGCACCAT